CCTCAGCCTTCCAAGTAGCTGGAACTACAGGTGCACGCTACCATGCCCGACTAATTTTTTGATTTATTGTAGAGATGAGGTCTCGCCAAGTTGCCCATGCGGGTCTAGAACCCGCGGACTCAGGCAATCCACTCACCTCAGCCTCTCAAAGTGTGGGATTACAGGCTGAGCCACCAAGCCCGGCTTGCTTTGCCTTTCATAGGGCATGACTTCCATAAACGATGTGTACAGTTTCCAAATGTAATTAAATATGGAGAATTTGGATAAAAATGAATGGGTAATTTGCTTTCACATTTTGCAAAAACTTGAAACTACCATCTGCTTTCTTGTTTGTGACAGGCCTTGAAAACTCATTTTGTTTAGTGGAGAATCCATATACAAGCACACACATACATACACAACACACACACGGGTAGCCTGGTAAATGAACTCAGGGCATATTACAGCAAAGGGTCTGGTTGAAAAACAGCTTAATTTTGAGTTGGCTCCTATATGTTATATAGGTTAAGGACCCATAGCAACGAAACAAGAATCCACATAAAAGAACTTTCACAGCCGGGCTTGGTGGCTCAGCCTGTAATCCCGCACCTTGGGAGGCTGAGGTGAGTGGATTGCCTGAGCCAACGGGTTCGAGACTCACCTTTGCAATTTGGTGAGACCTCATCTATACAATAAATCAAAAAATTAGCCGGGTGTGGTAGCGCGCACCTGTAGTTCCAGCTACTTGGAAGGCTGAGGCAGAAGGACCCCCGGAGCCCAGCAGGCCGAGTCTGCGGTGTCCAGGAGCAGCCACTGCACTCTAGTCTGGGCGACAGAGTGAGACTCCAACTCAAAAAAAAAAAAAAAAAGCCAGGCTTGGTGGCTCAGCCTGTAATCCCGCGCCTTTGGGAGGCTGAGGTAAGTGGGTTGCCTGAGCCCGCAAAGACCACCTGGGCAGCGAGACCTCATCTCTACAATAAATAAAAAAATCAGTCAGGCGTGGTAGCGCATGCCTGTAATTCCGGCTACTCGGAAGGCTGAGGCAGAAGGATTGCCGGAGCCCAGCAGGCAGGGCTGCGGTGGCCGGGAGTGGCCACTGCACTCCATTCTGGGCGACTGAGTGAGACTCCAACTCAAAAAAAAAAAAAAAAAGAGAACTTTCACATGAATTCAAGGGAGTATAAAATCCCTAAATGAAATATTATTTCCTCAAGTATTTCTTTGTAATAAAGTTCCAAGACATTCCAAAAAAACCTACTGTCTACATGTAGTCTTCTACTGTACCCTACCTGCTCCTTATTTCTTAGGCTAGGTCCTCCTCCATGTTACTCCTCATTAGACAGTAGGCTAACCAGCTGGCATGCTCCAAATCCTACCAGGTTTTGGAGGGCAATTCCAACAACTGCTGTCTAGGTGAAGACAAGTAGCAAAGAGTTCATTCACTGAGACTGAGCAGGGCAGAAGTGACAAGATCTCAAGAAACAACTGGACAAATAAGTATGATAGTATTTTCATAATTCTTGGAACCTAATATTAGCACATAGCATGGAAACTGAGGGAAGAACTGAATACTTTTTAATAGGTAGTATTTTTGTAGACTGGCTTTGGAGAGTTATCTTCCTCTGATTTACTATTTTTGTATTTTAAAGCTCTCCTTAACCCTTCTCCCTGTTCTAACAAATTAAGTACACTGAACCTAGAAACAATAAATAAATAAAGGCAAAAGGTTAACATATAGGGCATAGTGAACAAAAAGAAGATAAAAATGACACAATTGCTCTTCCTCCTGGATCTCTACTCTTGATCTCAGTTGACCATTTAACGGTGTAGAAAAGTGACTGCTGAATGACATGTTGTTGTTGACCTCTTTAAAACAGATTTGACGGATTACCATTTTCAGGAAAGAAGTTCTCTTGCCTTATTGCCCATTGGCAAGGGCTCATCTCAACTTCTAAAGGTTGCCTTCATGCTTTATCTCCTAATCCTCTCTGTCATTAAAGCCAGCAATGGCACATCATGTGTTTCTCACACTGGAATCTCTCTGACTTTCCCCTCTGCTTCCACTTCTGCTTTTAAGGAATCACACCGGGCCCATCCAGATAATCCAGGATTATCTCCCTATCAGCTGATTATTAACCTTAAGTATATCTACAAAATGCCTTGGCCATGGAAGGTAACATAGCCACAGGCATACACCAGATGGCGAAGGTCAAAAAAGCCCAAATTCTACCTGCCATTGTTCACCCTTTGGCCCCATGATTCACATTCCTCCTGTAGGAAAAACACTGTATACCCACTCCCTCCAAGGTTCCCAAAGGGCTCATCCTGTTATAGCATCAACTCAAAATTATCTAAATATCTAAATGACTTAGCTCTAGATGTAATCCATTTGCAATAATGATGGAGCTCTGGGTATAATCCATTCAATTAATTAAGTATATTAACCCTATTATTATATATAGCACAATGACATGATATATGTCATCAAAATGGGGATCTTAAAACCCTGGTTTTGCCTGTGACTGGTCTTGCAATTTAGCTGTAAGTCTCTTTCAAATATTTCTTTCAGCCTGACTGTCAACCTCCAGGTCTTGGGAGGGTCTAATACAAACCAATTAACTTATTTAAAAAGATCTATTCATTCCTTCTTTCTGTATAACTAATCTCTTACCCCCATTCTCGTTTCTTAGACCTTCTTAATGATTCTGACAGACTCTTTTCTTTAGGCCAGTCTTACAGCCTTCCAAACAAATGTGTCTTCAAAAAAGCAAAAAGTCGCCGGGCTCAGTGGCTCAGCCTGTAATCCCGCGCCTTTGGGAGGCTGAGGTGAGTGGATTGCCTGAGCCCGCGGGTTCGAGACCCGCCTGGGCAGCGAGACCTCATCTCTACAATAAATCAAAAAATCAGCCGGGCGTGGTAGCGCATGCCTGTAATTCTGGCTACTCGGAAGGCTGAGGCGGAAGAATTGCCAGAGCCCAGCAGGCGAGGCTGCGGTGGCCCAGAGCAGCCACTGCACTCCAGTCTGGGCGACAGAGTAAGACTCCAACTCAAAAAAAAAAAAAAAAAATGTAGGGAATTAGTAGTATGCTACTCTGCTGCCAGTGATGTCCATCAAGTTCCTCAAGAACCTAAACAATACTCATGAAACATGTATTAATTTACCTTCTCAGGTTGTTAATATTTTCTTAATTAACATACAATGCCTTTTTTGCATGACAAAGAGTCTTTACTTTTACATAGTTACCAGTACACCAAGTAATAAGGTAATAAGTTTTTAAATTCTGTCATCTAGTTGTTTTGATTAAGAGAAACTAAAAGCAGCCCAAACAATTAAACTAGCATTCATTGTCATTACCATTAGCAGGAATGAACTACTTTAAGGCTGGCTTTGGCTTCACATAGGTTACAACAATTGCTTATTACTTTTTCATAAATAAAGCCTTGATCGTTAAGAAAGCATGAGGGAAAAAATTATTTAATCCCTTTATTTCTTCGAAGAATCTTTTTTACTGGATCTAAGAAAGAAAAGTTAATATTGATATAAATGTTCCTTGACCTTAAAGGCACAGGAAAACAGACAATGTTTACCAAATAAATTTCTAAGAAATATGAGGTAAAAATATGAAATTTTTAGCTAAGTTCTAAGATTGTACAAAGAAACTAGATTGGCCACTCTCCAAAAAGTGAAAGGACCCACTATATAATATACAGAAATAACTGTAGTGCCTTTCCATAAGAACACAAAATGCAACATGTTAAGGGCTTTATGTACATTTTAGTTTAATCTGTAAACAATCCTGTGAGTTAGGTATCATTATCCTCATTTTGAAAATCAGGTACATGGCTGTCAGCGAGGTTGAATAATCTAATCAAGGTTATGCAGCCGTTGTGAGCCAGAATTGAAATGCATGCCTCATGAGCATAAGGGCATCCCGAGTGCCAGTTGATGGAAAAAGTGCTTCCTTCTTCTCCTATCTATTTATATGGTAGTCACAGATTTCTGAATGGATGTTGCAGATCAAGGACCAGAGGTTACCCAAGACTTCACCTTGTCTTGCTGGAAGTAGGTCTGGAGGATGGTTGTCTTCTTTTGGGTCTCCTTCTCCATGTCAATGCAGCAGCCACCCTGGGTCCCCAGTGGCACAGTTTCCTTGGCCTTGAATTCCTTCTCCCTTTGCAGGGGGCACTGTTCAACCTCAGCCTGAGCTGCCCTTTGGCTGATTCAGCCTTCAGTTCTTGTCTTTCTAGCAAGCCTCAGATACCTGCTTGGTGATCTGCTTCTTGGCATTCAGTAGCCTGATCCCCTATCGCTGACTGGCCGTGGTGGTGGCAACACTGAAGCCAACGCCTACTATAACTTTAAA